TAGAGTTAATAATATTTGTTGCTAATAGTTTTTTATCTTTTGGTTTTTTAATAATATTGGTAGTTTGGTATTGTTTATAAATAAGATTTTTGTTTAAATAGAAATTTGTATAGTATTTTCTATATAGACAGATGGCTATGGTATTAGTAGCAAATGCTTGAATATAATAGCAGATTTTAATACTATCTCTAAGTTCTATAATAATATAATTATTAGGTTGTTTATTTGTAAATATTAAATATGATATTTCTGACATATTTTCATAAATCCCAATATCAAAACTTTTTGAAAATTTTTTATAGAAGTAGTTCAGATCAATAGAATCAGGTTTAGAGCTTACTAAAATTAGAATTTTAGATAAAATTACTTAGAAAACTAGACTTGTTTTGTTTAATAAGATTTTAAAATATAAAGTTTTAAAATAAAGTAATAATTATGAACTTTGTTACAAAGTAGAATTTAATTTGCAGGGTATTACTGTGGCTTGCATAACTTTGTATAACATAGGTGATACAAGTATGGCTAGTGTAGCTAGTATGGCTGGTATAATACAAAGTTATAATTAGTTATATATTATAGTGACTATTGTGTACTAGAATGCAAAATTTATTTTTAGTAAGTTAATACAAATTAATTTGTAACAAAGAAAAATCTTTTTTGATTAAATTTAATTTACACAATGTAATATTAAATAAAACTAATTTTAGAAATGATTTAAGGTTACATAAAAAATATGTAAAAGAGAAAATTTAAAGTAAGAACAAAATAATTTTTTAAAGAACAATAGAAAAGTTAAAGTTGTTTTTTGTTATAATTTTATTAATTTTGAAGCTACAAGCTTCTTTTTAGACTTGTTTGAATTAAAAGAAGATGCTTTACAACTTTTATAAGAATAGTATTGTGGATTAAAAGAGTAACTGACAAGAAATAATTAAAAGTTTAGTTACAAAACCCAAAGGCCATTTTAGCAGTATTAAACTATGAGTTTGAAAGTTAAAAATTTATAACTTTTAAAATATATATAAAATTATAAGCTGAACAAATTTAATTAAGACATCAAAGTTAATTATCTTAATAAAATAACCAGTTATTAGTAATTTTATTACTAATAAATTTTTGTTATTTTTGTGTAAAAAGATTTATGAAAAGAGTTTTTAGTAAATTTTTATATAAAGAGATGTGACAACCTAGTAAAGTGATCAGGTTGTTAACCTCTTAAATGGTAGGTTAGGTGTTTAAATCTTATTGATAGCAAAAATTTAGATAAATACTAAATCATCAATATTGATTAAGTTTTGGTTAAGATATTTAAGTTTAAAGTTTAAGAAAAATTTTAATCACCTATGTAATATTTGTATTACAGCAACTGTTACTAATGATTGGGTTAGGATATCTGTAATAGCAGTCACATTAGCAAACTGGCAGGTTATGAGACATCTGTACAATGTTGAAGTTATACAAAAGAATGCAAACTGACAAATTAGACAGTGCAAATATTAGATAAGTTCTTGTAACCATGTAAATTCGTTAAAATTAGATAACAAGAAGTCTATTTGAAAAAACTCAAATAAAGAAATAGCTAAATTTTTGACAGCTCTACTGTAAAGACTAGCTCAATAAAATAAATATCAAGGTCTAGTACCTGGTTGTAATAGCCAGATGGGCAAGAACCTTCAGATTTGAAGTCTCAATGGTATCACCAATCAGGCTACTAGAATGAATCAAAGAAAAAGGATATTGAGCTAACCTAATATACTAATGAACTGGTTATAGTTCTATACAGACTATCTGAATTATAAATTTGGTAAAAAAACAAGGAAAGAGACAGAAATATACTAAAGTATCAGAGTTATGCTGTGAAGTAGATGTTAGGGTCTAAATGAACTTTACAAGAGCACAGTGGTTTAATAGTTAAGCCCTAACTGCAAGTGTTGGTTCTGCTATAGTGATATCTAGATTAGTTGTAAAAATGAGTACAGAAGGCTTTAAGAGGTTTATTTCAAGGATAAAATAGTTCTAAGATTAAGATAATAATCTAAGTGTCTGGGTAAGATTCAGTAAGTTAATACAGGTTACAGATTTATAAAATTTAAATTAAAACATCCAAGCAGAAATATTAGATATAGCAATTGGTAAGGAACCTTCAGGTAGACTCCTTAAATAGATAATATAGAAAAGTTATATATATAGTCAATTGTACACTTTTCTATAGTAGTTTATTAAACTACAATATTAATAAGTAATTAATAAAAGTCAAAAGACCAAAGAGGTCATCTTAACACCAAAAAAAAATATAATATAAATTTTTATATAGTATATTTATATTATCTTTATTAGAGCAAATTAAAACTTTTTATAAAAAAGAGCAAATCTAATTTATATATTTATGTTTTTTATACTTTTATCTATTTAAAAAAGAATTTTGCTAACTATAACTAGTAATGATAATTATCAAATCACATGATATATAAAAATATATAAGAAAAATTATGCAAAATTAATAAATAATCAAATAAAATTTATACACATGTTTGTGTAACTTCTATATAAAACAAATACTTTGAAATAAGTACTATATATAAACTAGCATAGTTAAATTAATAAATTTAATAACACATTTCTTATATTTAAACATATTATAATTGATTAGACTCTATAAACTAATACTTGAATTATTTATATAAACTTATAACTCTAATATACTAATATAATATATAATTTTAACTCTAACTTTAACTATATGAGGGGACTTCTAGCAAAAGGTGGCTTTGGGAAAATTATGTAATTTTGAGAAAATCATATCCAAAATTGGTATATAACTATTACATATATAATATTATTAAAATCATTAATTCAAATTATACAATTTTTTATTAATATATTTAGTAATCAAAATTTGTTTTTATAAAGATATTTATCAGTTAATTAGATATTATATAAAATCTCACAATTTGATTGGCTGGCCCAAAGCCACTTTTTGCTAGAAGCACCCCTATATGTTAATACAAATATATTCTAATTCTAATCTTAACTATATTTAATAAAAAGTATTTTTCTAACTTTTGCTTTAACTAGCATAATCTACTAATAGATTATCATATTTGTATATATACTATACATTATTTTTTTTTAAATTATATATAATAAGAATAGTGATTCTAGTATAGTAATTGAGTTATTATCCTCTAAGTGGCATATCTAAAGTTCAAATTCCACCTATAATGAAATTTGGAAATTATATTTGCATTATAATATTAAAACTAATATTATATAAAACTTTAGTACAAACTTATAATAAAACCACTAACTACAAAAAATTAAAAAACTAAGAAGTTAGAATTCTACTTAAAAATTTCTAAGTAAAGAAATAATACAAACTTTTGATAATAATATTAAATTAATAAAGTTTATAAAAACCTTTATAATATATAATAAGATAAACTAAATAACAAAAATGTATAAAGAAACATATATATAATCAACTAGATTATTTGAATTAGTAATTTAAAAATTCAAGAATTGTATCAGAAGAAAATTAATAAAAGAAGATGAAAAAAATATTAGAAAAATAAGTACCAAGATTTGAGTAAACTTTACAAGAATAGAAGTAATATAACATAGTAATTTAAGATTAAACTTGACTGCAAGTGTTAGGTAACTATAATGTGTTGCATAAAACTAAGTCAACTATGTATGAGATATAAAAAGCTCTAGTAACAATGCCATGCCTTATTTTATGCAGTGCATCTTCAAAAATGTCTTAAAGATATGAGTAAACATCTAGAACTTCTTGACTAACATGTGTATTGAAGATGTTTTTGTAACACAGTAAAGTTTGCAGTACAGAAAGTTTAAATAGGCAATACCCGTAGTTAGATTGCAGGTATGGCAACTAGTGTAATACCATAGGCGGACTACTTAAATTAAACACCAAAAGGCTAGTTGGCATAAACTCTCAGGCATGGCATAGGCATGGGCACAGAAATTTGATATTTGTTATTTAATTGTGTGCCCGACGCTGATACAATCCATAAACTAAAATCATTTGAAAAATAACGCGTGAGAGTCACGGCGTTAGGGTTAGGATTGGGATTAGAATAAGGCTTAGTGTATATTAAAATTTTGCGAGGAATTTTTTTATTATATGGTTTCTTGAAAAAACCGTTTTCATGTTGCACTAGTGGTTACACCTGATCTTGCGATCTACAGAAGACAATTTCCTTATTTGGGTTTGTATCACCGGCGCAAATAAGTGTTCGCCGTGCCAATGACCCCTATTAATAATACAGAATCGTAGTGGTCATGCTAGGTTGGGCCGAGCACTAATTATAATTCTCTATATCAATTCATAATAAACCGTTTGCTTGAATCTTTGATTTAATCGTTGTATTAACCGTATTAACCGTAGTAACCGTTTAATTCAACCAGCATTAAAATAATTCTGGCCTACGACCAAAATAGTTCGGCCCGGAACTAAGAATCAATTTATTTTATCTCTTAAATCGTCTTGTCACGAATGATCTGTGCTAATTATCGAACTCCAACATACTATTGTAATCTATATTTCAGGCCTCACAAATGATTACAATGATAGTGGACAATTTAAGGGATAGTATGGCGATATATACTATCTTACCAACTTTTAAATAAGCTAGTATTGTTCAAGCACTTTCCCAGCTCTAGTTAGTTACATGACACTATACACATGTTTATTACATACGTATCGATATTGCTATTCTTTTTATGTAAAAAATTAGCATTAGGTATATATATATTAGCTTAAATCGTTTAGACAAATTCAACCGAGTAATTGGCCAATCATAAGAAAGTTATCACACAAGCATTTTGCATAGAAAAAGTCTGACCAATATTATCGATGTTTAGATAATTTTTTTCGAATTAAACTGGCACTCTTCGGGAGTATTAGGCGCATAAAGCATTTTCATTCATATATTACTTTTAAGCGACTGCACTGTGCTCATTTTAATACTCTTAAAAAAATGTCGGAATATAATGTTCGAAACGTTGGTGTTGTAAATACTTTGGAAAACAGACTCTATATTGGTAAGCTACTTGAAGGTTTTCTTTTTTACTGTGTAATCTGTCAAGCTTTCTAAGGCTATGATAATTTGCGTAGAAAGGACCGGCACTGTAATTTCTCCTTTTCATGATATCCCATTGTTCGCAAATGAAAGTAAAACCGTCTTGAATTTTATTGTTGAAATTCCAAGGTGGACAAATGCTAAGATGGAGGTATATACTACCGGATATCATTTTCATGCTATTGTTAATAATTCAATCATTCATTGTAGTCTAATTTTATATACAATTAGATTTCGAAGGAAGAAGATCTTAATCCAATAAAACAGGATGTGAAAAAGGGTAAGCTTCGATACGTCCGTAATTGTTTCCCACATCATGGTTATATTTGGAATTATGGTGCTTTCCCTCAGGTAAACCAAATTTTTATTGAATATGTGAAAGTTAATCAACAAAATTGGATTAACTATTATTTGATAGACTTGGGAGGATCCTACACAAGTTCACCCCGAAACAAAGGCTAGAGGTGATAATGATCCGCTCGATGTCTGTGAAATTGGGGAACATGTAGGGTATTGCGGACAAGTAAAACAAGTTAAGGTTCTAGGAATTATGGCACTTTTGGACGAAGGTAATTCTCAGTTTGTTTGACGTTAATTTGTTTATCCTTGCTTACTAATTATTTTGTTAGGTGAGACTGACTGGAAAGTTATCGTTATTGATATCAATGATCCCTTGGCGAATAAATTGAACGGTCAGTATTTCAAATTCATTGCATGTCTCGAGGTTTTACATGAAATAAATAAATTTGTTGTTCATTTTGTATAAAAGACATCGAAGATGTCGAAAATCATTTGCCCGGTCTCATTCGGGCAACAAATGAATGGTTCCGTATTTATAAAATCCCGGATGGCAAACCTGAAAACTCATTTGCGTTCAGTGGGGAGGCCAAAAATAAGGTTAATAATGTTTAGTATTTTCTCTTCATGAATAATAATATTATATTTTTGACTTATCATTTATTAATTGCTTAGAAATATGCTACTGAAATTATTCACGAAACTCATGAAGCTTGGAGGCGCCTAATTAAGGGTCAAGTTCCCAACAAGGGTGAGAAATATGAAATTAACATGTACGAGTGAATTATTTCGTTTATTTTCATGATTTTTTTATTATCGTGATTCTAATTAGTATACTTTTACATGAGTATAGCACTAACATGACGTGTGAAGCAAGCCCTGGTCAAATTACTGTTGACGATCCCACTTATCAATCTATTCCCCCAGCTACTCCAATCAAACATGCCCCAATTGATCCATCAAGTAAGCTATAATTATAACAAAATTAGTACTCCTAATATTTATAATACTGATTGACCCATTGAATTTACGTAGTTGACAAATGGTTTTTCATCTCTGGTACCTCTAATCTATAATGATAACATTTAATTTTATATTTTCAATTAGAATTTACTTTATTAATAAATAAATAATAATAGCCATTTAGTGCTTATTTTATTTTTATGATTAAAGGAATTGGTTTCACATAATTAACTGTCAGATATAAGTAACTAGATGTATAAAAAAAACTAATTACTAAAAAAAAAAGGATAGTGAGCAAGTTTTTAGTTAACTAGAACTGCTTCTTTTCCAATTCCCTTCATTTTATTAATTATCTCATCAGATGAAAGTGTTGTTTTAACTTCGACGGTTTTTTTTGAAAGGTCAATCGTGTGTTTTGAGACAGCTGTTGATATTGTAAAGGCATAGAATTAGAAATGGAAGAAGTCTACAAAAATTTAATTTATACGTACCCTCAATACTATCTAAGAGCGTGTTGACAGACCGGTAACAACTTTGACAGGTCATGGGGTTAACTTCAAATTTGTAAGTATTCTATATGCAATGCAAACCATTTATAAATTTAAGCATAACTTCCGGTATTAGAACAAAAAAGGTCAAAATAAATACTTCTGTGGTCATGTTTCGTATTTTTTGTGCAGTCGGTGTTTTTTCGTTTTTTTTTTTACAATTTTCTAAACTGGGCTTATATTTATAATGTTGATACACAATCCACTGTATTACAAGTTTACCGTAAATCACTAGGGGTCTCATATCAGGCAGGTCTCTTGAACTAGAAAATACAGTCGCACCCCCCTAAATGCAATTACTATGTAAACCTCTCTAAATGCACGATACGGTTTGAACCCAACTTATTAGAACCCTATGTATTTTATTCTCTATAAGTGCAAACCTCCTCTAAGTGCAAAGTTTTAATTTTTTTCATTATGGCCCGACGGAGGTGCGACTGTGTACCGGGTGTTTGATAAGTCCCTAAACAGGATCTTTTTTATATCTCCGCCAGTATTAGTTTTTATTATAAAACGATTATACTTTTTCATATAGTAATTTATTTAGTGATTAAAAAAAAGGGTCCTGTTTAGGGACTTATCAAACACCCGATATACAAATAAAATCACACATATTAGACTTCTATAAATACCTTTTGCACGTACTAGGTTATTAAATTAAATAATTTCTAAGAAAAATAATAAAAGATATGTTAAAAGACACATTAATAGAATTCTAATAAATGTATACCAGGTGTTTCTACACGATCCTTTTTTACGATGATTATCATCGTGATCTCTATATAAAGTTACTTTAAAAAAAGGGACCGTGTAGTGGAACTTTTGAAACACCCGGGGGATGCCCCAAAAATATGCCGTGCCCCCAAACCTAAAAAATTTCGCAGGCCAATCAGATTTTAAGATCAGATGTTACGCAAAAATTAAACCAACATTTTACCTATGAAACCCAAAAAAAATTGAAATCAATTGGACATTGTAATGTGACATCTCTGATGAAACCACCTCTGTGCATTAACAAAAAGTTTCCCTTGTACTAAAAATTATTTCTAACCCAAATTAATAGCAAAACCTAACCCTAATCTAGTAGCGAAATTTTTTCCCAAACTCAACCTAAATTAGGCCGATCGACATCTACGCACACCATATTCATTTGCTAGTTCAAGAGATATGGCGATTTGAACTTATATGATTTTACTATTACTATCGCTAATTAAAAAAAAAATTGGTTAATGATCATCGTGCACTATGTTTGTGACTATCGGCCAATTAATTTATAGAAAATTTGATAATCCTGAGAAAAAAAGTAAAAAAACGGTTAATCTAAAAAAACTGTAGTCTGAACGAATCTTGATAGTTTTAGTAAAGTTGTACCACCCTAAAGTTTATTCAATTAAAATATTAATTTATATAAATTATTTTTTATTTTAGAGATAATTTATACATAGCGCATGCCTCATTGGGGTTATGCGTCAACTAAGTAAATCAAATTTTTAAAAAAAAGATATTAAAGGTGAGTAAATCAAATTTATATCAGGTCACTTTAACATTTAATTATTAAAATATTTAAAACAAAATTTGATGATTTCACCGATTTAAAATATATTATAAATTAAATATAAAAATAACTTGAATTTCTTTTAGATGCACAGGTCGAATTTTTTCTCTTTTAAAGTTTTCTAAATACGAATCATTTCTTGCGCATCACAATTACAAAGTTACGAAGCTTATTTTTATATAAAATTATAAACATTAGTTTCAAATCGATTATTTAAATATACTTCAATTTTTCCATATTAGAATTTTAAATTTAAGTTGAATTGTGAGTTTTTTTTATATTTAAATATAAAAAATAACTTCATACTTTTTCATAGACTTAATATTAATTATTGCAAATTATTACTTTGAATTACAATAAAGTTAGAGGTAGGCATCTATGGGTATATATAATCATATAAGCATCGATTTCAACTAAAAATTTGTAACAAAATTCGATTAGAAAAGCAAAACAATAAACAGTGTAATAAGACAATTAACGAAATAAATTAATGTTTGGTTATAATATTAAACTTGAGTTGTTGTATAACTCATTTTCAGAAAATTTTAAGATGTAATGCAAAGATTATTTTAGATACAATTATATATATATTTATATTTTTTTCTTATTAATAAGCAGTCAATTACTTAGTCAAATTGGCTTTATTAGTTAGTAATATTTTTAAGTACATTTATAGTTTATGAAAGTACAGCTAGCCATATATACAACTTTAATTATTGTTTATTTAAAAGTTTTGCTTTAAGATTATTCACTATCTGTCATACTGATCCTTGTTTGTAAATATCTTATTTAAACTTTCTAGCTTGTTTATAATTAGTATTTTGTATAACTTGAACTATTTTATACTAAAGCAAATGATTATGTATTGCTTCTTATTAAGGACTATCTAGGTTTAATTTTATTTTTTTTGTACTAGTATTCAGATTATTACATATTTCAGAACATATTATTTGCCAGTAAAACTCAAAAGCCTTTCTTATTAATTTATTTATTTACTTTACAGATTTTAACAGAGTTATGTTCTTGCAAAGTTTATTTGAACTCTAATATCATTTTATATTATATTTCTAGTACTTTAGTATATCTCTATATCTGTTTTTAGATTTTTAATTCAGATAGTCTAGTAGAACTGTAATTTGTTCTTAATATATTGACTTAGTTTGATATATTTTTTTTATTTTAATTCTAACAACCTAATTAATAATACTTTTTATTTAGAGATTCATGTTTATCTAACTTTTTAATATTAACATCTGTTTTTTAGATTTAGTTTTTGTAGCAATATTATTAAAAATCTGTATTATTTTTCTGCTCAGGTCTTTCTAAATAAGCTTTTTGTTTCTTAATTTCTATATATTTTTATATAATTATAAGAATTTATCTTGAGTTTGTATTATTTAATACTGGTTTGTATTTTTTATATAACCAGTTATACAAATATTTGATAACTTGCCAATTAAAATTATTAAAATAAAATTATATTTGCAAAATAGTTATTATTTTTAAATATTATATAATTTTTTAAAATATTTTTAAAATTTAAAATATTATTTAAATTATTTAAACAAATATTAGTTTATTTTAAAATTTATTTTTCTAAATTATTTAAAAAATTATAAAATTTTATAAATATTTTAAATCGTATTATATTTATTCAATACTTTAATTAATATGAGAATTATTTAAAGATTTTTATAGTAACTAAAAGTTTTGTAAAAATTTTTGAAAATTAAAAAGAAATTTTGTATTATATTAAGCAATTTTCCTCTTAGATTTAACAAATAAATAACTATATTAGAGAATTAAAGAAAAGATTGAATAATAAATTTCATTAACAACTCTCCTTAATAATCACTTGTATTGAATTTTATATCAACAAAAACAGAAAACTTATTGGAGAAAGTAGAAGAGGCTACTATATAAATAACAGTTTTTATAAAGATCAAAGTGGTTCTTTTATACTGAACTCCTTTATATATTTAGTAAGCAAACTAAAAACATATATATACAAGATAACTGGTAGGAAGCATTCTTGTATAACAAATTTTAATAGAAGTCTCAATTTCTGTTAACAAAGTTAAAATAGTAGGCCTTATAGGAAAACAATAAGCAAGTTTTTAATACATTTACTAGAAATTTAAGGATACCTGCTAACTGAACATCACTACCATATTCCTTGTTTAGTTTTTTGACAGAAGTTTTTATAAGAAGTGGAAATTTAGTATACCTCTATGAAAGATTTATAGAAATCATCCATTTTGAAAATAGAAGAATTATCCTTTTTCTGAAATTAGGAGTAACTCTAAGCGAAGTGAAAAGGTCAGCTGTAGAACTGATAGAGAAGAAATTAAACACTGATATCTCTATCATCAAATGACATTTATATATAGTATAGACCTATTTCAGAATAGAGACTAGAAGTAGTAATATTATATAATTTTTACAATTTGCTCTGACTAGGGTTTTAATCCTCTTTTTTTTTTTTTTTTTTTCTTACTATTACATATTTATTTACTGTTTTGTTTTAATTTGAGTTTTGTTTATTTACTTTTAGTTTTTTTAGTAATGTTCTTATTTGTATTCAATTTTATAATACCCTTCTTTTTTTGGCCCTTTGAGAAGAAAAAAGAATTTAAGAAAGAATTAAAGACAATTAATGCTTGTTTCAGAAAAGAGAAATCCTTTCTGATACAGCTTTAAGTAGCCAGATAAGCAGTCTACCTCTAACTGAAGTAATGCAACAGATTGTACTTAGGTACCAATAAGATAGCCAGATAATGCTAGACTTAGTTATTGGGAAAATTCTATGTAGTTATTGTATATAGTTGCAAGAATCTTAATAAAGTACTAGCATGGCTGCTTAAAAGCAAAAAAAAAATTCATAGACAGGAATAGATCAACTAACTCTCTCTGCTGATTCTTAATTTCTAAACAAAGCCAAACAAACATAGAGGAAAAACACAAAAACAGCTCTATAAACTTTATTTTGGACTCTAAAAAAAAAGACTCAGCATGCAAAATATAATGACTTTACTTTAACAATAGTATAAGTAAAGTCTTCTTAAACAAAAGCTTTTGCTAGTTTTATAGTTTTTTGAAAAAAAATTTTGAAAAAATTGGAAAATGGCACTAAACCCTGAAAAACAGAATTGAAGCATGTGATCAGCCATCAATACAAACAAAACAACATATCACATTATACCAAACAACAAACAGTAACAACAAATAGCTTTATTAAGAAATAACAGATAAGTACAGTATATAGAACAAACAAATGAATGAACAATAAAATAGTCTAGAAATAGAAATACAAACTAGATTAGGATTATCATGCAGTACAAAACTAATTCAACATATCAAAGATTTTAGTGATAGAAATAGAAGATACATAGATAGTAAAATTCTAAATGCAGTTTTGGCAAAACCTATAAGAAATCCTAATAATCTAGAATATATAGCAAGAGGCTTAGCAATTTATGACCCAAAAAACATTACAGCAAATGATTTACTTCTTTATAGCCAAATACTAGAGGTACTCAAAATAGCAGAAGTATGCA